AACCAGAGTCAAAGACCAAACTTTAGAACAACAGATGCTGCAGGCACCCGCTATGCATTAGGAAATCACTGATGTTTTAAGGAGCTCTAGGCCAAGGACTGAGGTCAGAGATCAGAGATACCACCTCATACTAAAACACTAGCAAGAAATGTTCAGAGACACAAAGCCTCAAGGTTTACAAGCAGAGATATTGAGGGGGCAGGACCAGGAGAGGTCAGGGAGAGAACAGGCAAGGAAGCCATGACAGTTTATAAAATCATCAACAAAGATTGCAGAAATTAAAAGGAGAAAGTAGAAGGAAAACAGGGAAACCCTACAGGCATGACTTAAGGAGAATTTCAGGAAAGGGAACAAATGACAACACCATGAGGTAGAGTGAGAGACTCTGGCCTCTGGGTCAGTGGGCATCGTCTGGGACATAATCCCAAAGACACAATTCCTAATGCCACAATCCTGAATGTTGAAATCCCCGAAGATTAAAGTCTCAAAAGTATAATTCTAGAAAAAGTCACTTTAAAAGTTCTTTAAAAGATACTTATACATGCTTTTAAAGGGGGATTTGAGAAACATTAAAAAAATGTGCAGAACAGGTAATGACTCACATTATACAATAAAAATGCAATGATAGGGACTGGTTTGTGGCATAACACTGGCATCCCAAATAAGTGTCAGTTCAAGTCCTGGCTGCCCCACTTCCAATCAGCTCCTTGTAAATGCATCTGGGAAAGCAGAAAAGAATGGCCCAGGTGCTTGGGCCCCTGCCACCTATGTGGGAGACCCAGACTTCAGCCTGGCCCAGCCCCAGCCATTGCAGTCATTTGGAGAGTGAACCACCGATGGAAGATCTCTTTCTTCCTCTCCTATTAATGCTGTCTTTCAAATAAATAAGATAAATCTTTTAAAAAAAATATACATACTTTTGCAAGCATAAACACTCAGGTACACAAATGATAGTCACACAGGTATAAAAATTATAAAGAGATGAACTATACTCACAATCAGTCAAAAAGTAGAAACTGTATAATCACATATTCCTATGGTTGGAAACTGTTTACAGTGAGCTTTGTAACTGGAGTCACCCGAGAAACAGTGACAGGTGACCTAAAGTCATTTGATAAGATCAATCAGAATTCCCCAGGGGTCACACAGCGCATATATATATATATATGAATATAGTCACCTGAAGAGCTGAGACACTTCACAAAGGCAGATGAACAGAAAGGACATAACTTCCCGAAAAGTGCCAGCATCTTTACACACATATATGTACCACTTAACACACAACATGAATGTGATGATGCAACATATGTGGAGTCACATTTGCATGGAATGTATAAAAGTAATTCGAATTCTGTAAGTCTTTATTTTAAAAAGGCAGAGTGACAGGGAGAGAAAGACAGAGACAAAGAGAAAGAAATCTTCCTTCCACTGATCCACCCCTCAAATGGCCAGAAGAACTAGGGCTGGGCCAGGAAAATTGGGAACCAGGAAGCCTTGGGTTCTAAATTCCTGCTTAAATAAAAGAGAAAAAATAAATGCAAAGAGAAGTGGCTCAATGAAATAATCACTGGGTTACAAGTTTTAGAAAACAAAAATAAAAGCGCAAAAAGAAGACAATCAGAGGACTTTTAGTCATTTTAGATTTTTTATCATAGGTAGGTTTTGCTTATTCAAAAAAACTGTGCATTTTTCATAAAAGACTTTATGCTAAAGCACCTCAAGCTTTGAGTTCCACAGAAAAAGACCCCGCCTGGCTTCATTTACCAGCACAGGGCTGGCTCACAGCAGATCCTCCATAAATAGTAGCAGAATAGTATGCTTTAGTCTCCACAGAAGCTACATGAACAACAATGACACAAAGCAAATTATACACATGCAAGATGACAGAGGTCTACAGTGGGTTGAGCAACAGCCCCAAAAGATGGGACCACGGCCTGATCCCCAGGACCTGTGGATGTGACCTTACTTGGGAAAAGGGCCTGAGTGTGTGTGATTATATTAAGATAATAATGGACCTTAAATCCAATAACAAGTTGGCCGGCGCCGTGGCTCAATAGGCTAATCCTCCACCTTGCGGCGCCGGCACACCGGGTTCTAGTCCCGGTTGGGGCGCCGGATTCTGTCCCGGTTGCCCCTCTTCCAGGCCAGCTCTCTGCTATGGCCAGGGAGTGCAGTGGAGGATGGCCCAGGTGCTTGGGCCCTGCACCCCATGGGAGACCAGGAAAAGCACCTGGATCCTGGCTCCTGCCATCGGATCAGCGCGGTGCGCCGGCTGCAGCAGCGGCCATTGGAGGGTGAACCAACGGCAAAAGGAAGACCTTTCTCTCTCTGTCTCTCTCTCACACTGTCCACTCTGCCTGTCAAAAAAAAAAAAAAAAAAATCCAATAACAAGCATCCTTATAAGAAAGAACAGTCACCCATCCAAAGAGGAAAAGGCCTGGGAAGAGAGAGGCAGAGATTGCCACCCACATTTCAAACTTCTGCCCTCCAGAACTTCAGGGAATGAATCTTGGTTAAGCCCCTGGTTCATGGTTAAGTTCATGGTCATTTGTTTCAGCAGCTCTAGGGACCTAACACAAAGCAAGACAGATATGCTGTAATACCAGATTAAAAGTGCTGATTTCCCCTATGATACACAAGATGGTAATAACAACTGCATTCAGGACAGTGAGAGGGAGAGAGGTGCAGCGTCAACAAAGCTCAAGTTTCTCATTTAGATAAACAAAGCATAGAGGTGAGCAAGGTCACTGCCAACACTACAATTTACAATAAATACAACCTACTCCCCTGATAGAACGTCAAAAGATTTAACTAGAACATCAATAAAAATATGGACTTAAGAAATCCAACAAGGAAATGGAAACAAAGGAAGAGCATAAGTATTACAAAGTAGTTCAACCATGAAAAAAGGTAGGAGGATAAAAAATAAATATCCATTCACTTAATCCCCAGTCTTCATAAATAAATAAATTTGGCCAAATTTATCTCACATCTTTTTTCTTAAAGGAATAAAATATTTCAAATATAACTGGGGCCAGTGTTGTGGCACAGAAAGTTAAGCTGCTGCCTGCAGCACCAGCATCCCATGTGGGCACCGGTTCAAGTCCTAGCTGCTCCACTTCCAATCCAGCTCCCTATTAATGGCCCAGGAAAGCAGCAGAAGATGCCCCAAGTGCTTGGTCCCTTGCACCCATGTGGGAGATCCAGAGGAAGTTTCTGGCTCCTGGGCCAACCTGGGCCAGCCCCAGCTTTTGTGGCCATCTGGGGAATGAACCAGCAGATGGAAGATCTCTCTCTCTCTCTGTGACTCTATCTTTCAAATAAATAAATCTTTTATATATAATTACATGTATAAATGTATAAATGTGTGTGTATATATACACATATACATATATATATGTATGTGTATATATATATATATATAAATTGAAGCCCTACAAACCTACAGACCTCCTATCTGACCACCTGATCCCTTTCTCCTTGATCCTACCTTACAGGAAGCCATTGTTTAAAGTTGAATGGATTGTTCTCATGTGCCTGTTTACACTTATATAGTATACAGTACAATATGATATAATTAACCTTTACAGACATGGCAACTGTGCTTCTATTCAACATATTTTCACACTTACTTATGTTGATAGATGCTGCAATCTGAGTACATTCAACAACTAAAATTATTAATCTCACATTAATCAACATTTAGGTTACTCTTTAACTTTTCTTTTTTTTAAGATTTTATTTAGGCCGGTGCCACAGCTCAATAGACTAATCCTCCGCCTAGCGGCGCCGGCACACCGGGTTCTAGTCCCAGTCGGGGCGCCGGATTCTGTCCCAGTTGCCCCTCTTCCAGGCCAGCTCTCTGCTCTGCCAGGGAGTGCAGTTGAGGATGGCCCAAGTAGTTGGGCCCTGCACCCCATAGGAGACCAGGAGAAGTACCTGGCTCCTGCCTTCGGATCAGCACGGTGCGCCGGCCGCAGCGCGCCGGCCACGGCAGCCATTGGAGGGTGAACCAACGGCAAAGGAAGACCTTTCTCTCTGTCTCTCTCTCACTGTCCACTCTGCCTGTCAAAAAAAAAAAAAATTTTTTTTATTTATTTATTTTCTTGAGAGGCAGAGTTACAGAAAGAGGGAGAGACAGAGAGAGAGAGGAGAGAGAGGGGAGAGAGGAGAGAGATCTTCTATCCAATGGTTCACTCTCCAAATGGCCTCAACGGCCAGAACTGGGCTGATCTAAAGCCAAGAGTCAGGAGCCTCTAACTGGTCTCCCACAAGGGTACAGGGTCCCAAATGCTTGGGCCATCATCCACTGCTTTCCCAGGCCATAGCAGAGAGCTGAATCAGAAGAGGAGCAGCTGGACTTGAACCAGCTCCCATATGGGATGCTGGCACTGCAAACGGAAGACAGAACAACACAGAAAAAGGGGGGAAGGGGGTGGAATTGATCTTCCATCTGCTAGTTCACTTCCCAAATGGCTGCAATAGCCCAGGTAGGGCTAGGCTAGTCAGGAGTTCCATCCTGGTCTCCTACGTGGCTGACAGGGGCCCAAATACTTAGGCCATCTACTACTGCCTTCCCAGGCACATTATTAAGGAGCTGGACTGGAAGCAGAGTAGCTGGGACTCGAACCAGCACTCTGATATGACACTGGTGTCATAAGCGGTGGCTTAACCTGCTGCACCACAATGCCAACCCCCAGTGACCTTTTATTGTCTAGATTTTTTCATGCATCCACTAGAACTTCCCCACAGAACAGACCTAGAAAAGGAACTACGAAGTGCCCTTTCTTTTCAAAACCTGTTTTCCTAGGTAAATAACCTTTACTACAGTGTAGGGGCAGACCTATTGATCATCAGAAGGTTCTAACTGGAGACCATCTTGAGATACTTTCTGTGGGAAAAGCCTAAATTCTAGTTTATCTTTAAATCATCCCTGAGTATATGATTGGCAGAGACATTTGGAATAAAAAAGCAATACAGCTCACCAGTGAGATATTACCTGTGTAATATTTTTAGACGACATAATTGCCTGATTATAGAATATGCGGCCGAAGTGATCTCGGTCTGGAAACGTATCTGCTTGTCGAGGTAAGTTTGCCCCTCCTGAATCGACTGAAGGAAAATGGGAGAAGTCAGCACATCTCTGTGAACAAAACACACTCTCCCAGGGGACCTGCCTCAAGGACAGTAGTGGTTCCTGATCACAGCCACGTTCTAGACACACTCTGGAGTCTCTTTCTCCAACCCCCTGCACAGCCCGAAGGACTCACTGTTGGTCCCAAACCCACCTGGCTTCCCTACGTCTGTGCAAAATGCTAGCTGAGATGTCTGGGACATTCTCTCATTTGAAGACCAGCTAAGGTCCTCAGATAATCCAGGAATATAAATTCTTAACCAACTGAACTGAAAATTTTTCTTTTCCTCTTCCACGCCAATACAAAAGCCATCCACGGAATTCATGGGGACGATTCATCACTTAAGGCCTTCTGATACTGCGCTGATCGCAGACTGAAACAGTGGATTAGGGTACTGTGTTCAAACACAGCTTGTTACTGCACAGCTGTGTGGTTACAGGTGTCTCCTTGCCATGCTTTGCCTCAGTCTCTCCCCTGTGAAATGAAGATAACAATAGGAGCTACCCCACAGAGCTGCTAGGAGGAGTGAAATACCATATATAAAGCACTTCATTCAGAGGCACACACTCTGAGTGCACACAGGAGATGTTAAAATTTGGCTAGTCCTACATTTACTACTACTGCCTATGACCACTGCGTCTTTAATAGTTATTTAACCCCATCTCCTGTCTCAAAGTCATCATGAGCTCACTGAAGACAGAGACAACATCATGCCTTTCACTCATCCCCTCCAGCATCTGGCCCAGGACCACAAGCAGCTGGGCTTCATTTGCTATTTTCTGTACATGCGAAAAACAGTTCACATTGTGAGTAAACCAGGTATTCACTTTCCAGGATTAAAAAATCTCTACATCAGTATCTGTGTTCGAGTACCAGCATAAATGAACAATGTATGTTGGAATCTCATCAAACTAAGTCAATATCTAGGAGGTGCCAATTTTTCTAAACTGCTTTGCTTTTAGGTTCTTTCTGGAATATCCCCTGATTTTAAAGCAATTCACTAGAAATTAAATTTACTTAAAATAACATTTGCTCAAATTATATAATATAGCATTTAACACAGTGCCAGGCACTCAAAGAGATCCATAAAAATTAGCTATTTTTTTCATAGTTTGGACCCATTATGGGTAACAGAACAACAAAATATATAGAAGAAAAAATCCACAGTGTGGAGAGAAAAAAAAAAAAAACGGCACACACCAAGATATTCCTAGGGGATATTCCTGGAAGTTCATTTCCCCTGGAGTTTTCAGGAAAGAACATGTGTTTCCTTTATAATTGTGGAAGAAATCAATCAATAGCTTTTTTTTTTTTTTTTTTTAAACAACTGGTAGCGTCAGGGTCTAGCCTTCTAAACAGGCTTGCACTTTCCCAGCCGGCCACAGCTTACTGTGCGGTGCCTGTCACTTGCCCAGGTAGATGCAGGGGAGCCTGTTCTGCAGCGCAATCTCCTGGGCCCGCAGGTGTTTCTTCACGGTCACCGGGTAGTAGGTGCCTCCTTTAACAGTGGCGTCATTGGCAACGATCATGCACTCTACTCTGAAAGGCAGAAATTTCATCGGAAAGAGAATGTGAGTGATTTCTTCAAAATTAAAGGCCCATGGTAGCGAATGACAAGACGCTCAGTGTAAGCCTCAACACCTTGTGCATTTCACCAGTGACACCCATTAGCTGCCGGTCTGAGGATACAAAACAAGCCTGACAATGGTCATGGCTGACACAGTCATTCATATAAAACCGAATGATTACTTTATTGAGGGTACAAACTCACACTTGAAAAACTACAAACGTAAGCTCATTTCATGATGGTTCCTTGAATGAAAGGACCCTAACAATGTTAATACCCAAAACCTTAAAAACTCAAGTCTTGGGGGTGAGGAATTCCTTTACAATAAACCTTCAGAAAGCCGGCTCCGTGGCTCAATAGGCTAATCCTCCACCTTGCGGCGCCGGCACACCGGGTTCTAGTCCCGGTTGGGGCGCCGGATTCTGTCCCGGTTGCCCCTCTTCCAGGCCAGCTCTCTGCTATGGCCAGGGAGTGCAGTGGAGGATGGCCCAGGTGCTTGGGCCCTGCACCCCATGGGAGACCAGGAAAAGCACCTGGCTCCTGGCTCCTGCCATCGGATCAGCGCGGTGCGCCGGCTGCAGCGGCGGCCATTGGAGGGTGAACCAACGGCAAAGGAAGACCTTTCTCTCTCTGTCTCTCTCTCTCACTGTCCACTCTGCCTGTCAAAAAAATAAATAAATAAAAAAAAAACCTTCAGAGTTCTCTTTAAGCAAGGAAATTTGCAAAAAAAAAAAAATAAAAGAAAAATTAACACTGACCCATCAGGAGTTCCAGCATTTATTTACTATATTTTTCAGAAGATCTTCAGTATTACGGGTCTATGCTCTTCCATAAAACTAAAATTCGTCTAAAATACAACATTAAATTAGCTTGAAGTCACAGCGGATGCAAACCGTAAAACAGCACACTGAAGACATATCGCAGATACAATGAGCCCTCAATAGTGCTCCTTCTCACCAAGACCAGTGTGCTGGGTACGAGGACCCACGGGTAACAAAGAGCAGAGCAGGGGACAAAGACAGCCAGGGAGGGAAACGGTGCAGCCTCACCAGGAAGCCCTAAAACCAGCAGCTCCTCACTGGAAATCTGGGACACATCTGAATTCTTCACAAAATTCAATTTTCTTTACACTGACGATGCTTTCATTATCTCATTTTATAACCTCCAGAATTCTGAAAGGTAACGCCCTGAATCCTTGTTGAAAATAAAGTGGATAAAAGCAGCTGGGCTCCCAGGCGAGGGCAATGTGCTTCTCCTATTTATGCGTCATAACCCTTGTGGCAAATGTCCACTCCGAAATTTTGTCCTTCTTATTCACCATTGTGCCCCTAAACTAGAACCAGGAACGTGGAAAGCAACAAAAAATGTTTGCTGAAGAGCAGGCCTTTGGCCTCGCTGTTAAAACCTGCTCAGGACGTCCACGTCAAAATACTGCAGGGTTGGAGTGCATCCCAGCTCTGCCCCAGATTGCAGCTTACTGCTGCTATGCACCCTGGGAGGCAGCAGCATCTGACACCCACGTGGGAGACTGGATGGAGCTCCCAGCCCCTGGCTCCAGCCAGGCCCAGCCCTAGCTGTTGCAGGCATTTGGATATGAGCCAGCGTATAGGAGATCTCTGTATCTCTTTCTCTATCTCTCTGTCTTTAAAATAAATGAGTAATCTTAAAAATAAAAAGGATTTGGGGCTGTTGCCTGTGACACTGGCATCCTATATGGCCACTGGTTCATGTCACAGCTTCTCTGCTTCCAACCTAGCTCCTGCTAATGCACCTGGGAAAGGAACAGAAAATGGACAAAGTGCTTGGGCTCCACACCCACGTGGGAGACCCAGAAGAGACTCCCAGCTCCTGACTTCAGTCTGGCCCAACCCCAGTCGTTACAGTCATTTGGAGAGTGAACCACCAGATGGAAGACCCCTCTCTGTCTCTCCCTCTCTCTTTCTGCAGCTCTGCCTTTCAAAACAAACAAAAAGTATTTATCATGGAGCCTGTTTCAAGGTAAAAAAAAAAAAAAAAATACATATTCTATTGTCTACCCTCTCAATTCCTGGCACAGAGATCCTAAACTTTTGTCATTTCTGAGTGATGGGATGACAGGAGTATCTTTTGTTATTCATAACAAGCCCCTTCCAATCACTTCAAAATTTATAATATTTTTAGTACACTTATACTTTGACTGCTATCCCTCACATAGGGTTAGGCGTGGAAAATACTGTATGAAATAACATTCAAATTATGTATGTAAGGTGCATACGAAACATTTTAAATTCAGACTTGGGTCGTCTCCCAAATAGCTTTTTTAAAATGTTTTCAAATAATAGTTCCTTTTTTTAAGATTTATTTATTTATTTGAAAGGCAGAGTTATAGAGAAGCAGAGGCAGAGGTCTTCCATCTGCTGATTCACTCCCAAATGGCCACAATGGCCAGAGCTGGGCCAATCCAAAGCTGGGAGCCAAAAGCTTCTTCCGGGTCTCCCACAAGGGTACGGGGGTCAAAGGACTTGAGACATCCTCCACTGCTTTCCCAGGCCATGGCAGAGAGCTAGATGGAAAATGGAGCAGCTGGGTCTCAAACTGGCACCCATATGGGATGCTAGCACTGCAGTGGCCTCAATAGCTCTTAAAAAAAAAAATAGATTTTATTTAGTTGAAAGGCAAAGTTACAGAGAAAGAGAGGGAGAAAGGCAGAGAGAGATCAATCTTCTATCTACTGGCTTACTCCCAAATGGCACAGTGGCAAGGCTGGGCCACAGGGAAGCCAGGAGCCCAGAACACCATCCAGGTCTCCTAGGTGGGTAGCAGGGGCCCCATCACTCAGGCCATCTTCTGTTGCTTTCCCAGGCACATTAAGAGGAAGCTGAATCAGAATTGGAGCAACCAGGGCTTGAACCAGTGCTTTATAAGGGATTGTAGACCAGCATTGCAGACGGTGGCTTAACCTGCTTTGCCACAATGCTGGCCCCCAAAATATCTTAACATGTAGGAGAAAATATTCCAAAATCTGAGCTCTGAAGCATTTCTATTCTTAAGAATTTCGGATAAGCAGTAACCAACCTGGAATAAAGTATTAGTAACAGTCAGGCCCTGCACAATGGTGTTTCGGTCACACTACATTTCCAACAGTGGTCTCCAGAAGATCGCATCGCTTCGTTGACATCAGAGCCATCTTAGTCCATGCGGTGCACTCTAAGATGTCTACACCATGATACAATCACCTACTGATACATTTCTCAGAGTACGCCCCTGGCATAAGTGACATGTGACTGTATACACATGTGGGAAGAGGAAGGTCATGCTCCGACCTGCTGACCGCCATTATCAGTGAATGGATAACACGGAGAAATTATCCCACTCAATCACGCATTTCCTTGACAAGTGATTCAGCTTCACTCTGAATTAAGTGCACCATGTTCAGAACAGTGTACTTGTCCCCTAAGACTCTGAGAAAAAAACTTTCCACCCTGAGTGAACATGAAGCCAAGAGCCAAGGAAGGAGCTAAATGAAGAAGAAGCAATGGCGGCACCGGGTCATGGGGAGAAGGGGGAAGAATACACACCACAAGCCAACACCTGATTCCGTGGCAGGTGGGCCAGGCTCTGTCAGACTGAGACAAATCCGAGCTCCACCATCTCGACCTCGGCCAGCTATGTACCTCCAAGCCTTTGCCCCTCCTGCAGAACGGCGACAACTACAACAGTGCTCCCTCGCACACAGCTCTGGCGAGAACTCATACAGGCTATCAGTGGTAGGTGCTCACTGCAGTGGCTGGGACAGTAACCATGGGCTGAGTGTGAGACCACACATAAACACAAACAAACAAATTTTACATCGAGCAATCTATGTTTGCTAAGTCTACACTGGTTCTCCAATTTTTGCATTCGAGAAGCCAGAGGGCTAGTTAAAACAGATTACAGAGCTCTACCCTGGCGTTTCCCACTTAGAACTTCTGGGGAAGAGCTGTCAAAGCCACCTGGGGACCACACTCGGAAAGAGCGGCTTTCAACCCAGATGTGCAAGAGGTCACCGTGGGGTCTCTGGAGACCACAAGCCAAGCCCACAACTGAAAGATTCTGATTAAGCAGGGAGGTCTGAGTTGGATCTCAGGGGCCTTCGTTGGGGTTTCTTCCCCTTTGATTTTTGTCTCCAACACTCTATGGAAGCTTCTAATTCAGGTCTGGATAGGAGGCCTCAGTCATAAATAATATAAAGAGCATAAAACTGGCATGCTGATATGTGTGGATTCCTATGCCCCGCCAAGTCTTCTTCCTGATGCACATTACTGAGCACAGGTGCAATACTCACCCTGATACCCTCCCAATGCCTGTGATGATGCCACCTGCAGGAACCTCCTCATCACCATACAACTGGTAACCTGCAAACTGGGACAATTCCAGAAATGGAGACCTAAAGAGAAAAAGGATGTTGTTTGAATGAAGTCACTTAAGAAACAAAAAAATAAAAAATAAAAACATCACTTGAGAAAGGAAAAGATTTTTCTTTAATGGGGCAATGTTTCAAATACATATGTTGCATATAAATCTATAAAAAGAGACCCAGTATTGCGGGATATCAGGTTAAGCACTGCTTGCAATGCTGGCGGCCCATATTGGAGTGGTAGTTCAAGTCCCAGCTACTCTGCTTGTGATCCAGCTTCCTGCTAACATGCCTGGGAAGGTAGCAGAAGATGGCCCAAGTACTTGGTCCCCTACCACCCACATGGAAGACCCTGACGGAGTTCCTGACCTTTGGATTTGGCCTGGAGCAGACCCAGCTGTTGCAGTTAATTTGGGAAGTGAATCAGTAGGTGGAGGAATCGATCTCCCCGCACCCCTCTCCATCACTCTGCCTTTTTAAATAAGTATTAAAAAATAAATAAATAAAAAGAAGAGGAGGAATAGGCCAGAACACAGCAGTCTCTCCAACATTTGCTGTTGCATCTTAAAAGAACCAGAATTCAAAACTGTGCATTTACAAAACTGGCTACTGAAGCAGCATGGAACAGAGAGCCCTGTGTATTAGCACTTGGATGTGCACCAACCCTGGGTCCAGAAGATTGTCGATTCTTTCTCTGGGTAACAGTTTTCCTCTTGCCGTATGCCGGGCTCGGGCTTTCTCATTACCTCCTACAATAAAAAAAGTCACTAGATTAGACTGATAGGAAATAAGGTCTCCACTGAACTTAATGCCAGAAAAACATACAATGCTTAAATTAAAATTTTAAGATGCTCCACATATTCCTGGATAAACAGCTAATTTTTCAGATCATTCATTTGACTTACAAGTTGCCAACAGCTGGAATAAAAAGCAAAATTTTTTATGGAAGACTGGATGAAGTTCTAGTATCTAGGCTTCAACCTGACCCAGCCCTGGTCATTGTAGCCATTTGGAAAGTAAACCAGTGGATGGAAGCTTGTTCTCTCTTTCTAGCTCGCTCGCTCTCTCTCTCTCTCTCTCTTCTCTCTTTTACTCTGCCTTTCAAGTAAATAAATCAATAAATAAATCTCTAAAAACTTAAAAATATTAATAAAATAAAGTAAGTAAAACTGGAGTTTGAAAAGCCAATCTATCCCTGATGCTAGAGTATATCATATGTGTTCTGGAATCACTGGTAATAAAGAAATTAAAAGTATTTCTCTGCAATTCATGTGTAGCAATTACTACCTCAATACCACACTTAGTGAATACCTACTCTATATACTTACAATTAACATTGTACTACACGCTATGCAAAATCTGAAAATTCTATCTTCATTTGTAATAGGAAAACCACAATTTTAGATGTTTCTTCCATGATAAGCACAGTGAAACTCTCCTAAAAGTGCCAACAGTAACTGGTAACTTTTTAGGCCTGCCATTGGGAGAGCCGAACACTTGCTTATACAGCACTTGAAAAGTGACCCTTTTGGTCACTGTGGTGGTAAAGCGGGCTATATCACCACTTGAGACACCCACCTCCCCTATCAGAGGGCCTAGTTTGAATCCTGGCTGCTCTACTTCCGATCCAGCTTCCTGTTACAGCATGCTGAGCAGCAGTAGATGAACATTGAGTATTTGGGCCCCTGCTACACCTAAGGGAGATCCAGACTGAGTTCTGTGCTCCCAGCTTCAGTGTGGCCCAGCCTTAACTGTTGCAGGCATCTGGGGAGTGAGCCAGTCAGGGGTTCACCCCATCTGTTGTGCTGCCTTTCAAGTAGATGAAAAGCACATTAAAAAAAAAAAATACCCCTTTGTTCAATTTGTTCAATTATGGCTCAGAAATCACCTTCTCAAAGTGTTTCTCAACTTTTGAAGGAACTGAAGAGCCCACGGAGGTACCTGAGGTCAAAAGTTGCAAAACTTACCCAACCTTAAGGCTGGGGGCTGTTTCTTGGGAATTATCCAGAACCCACTCTGAACAGACTAAGGCTACAGAGCAGGAGCACAAGTATCCACCTGTACCTTGACATGTTTCTTTTCATTGTCATCCGTAATTTCATCAAGACAGCCTTCGTATAATGAAATGCTCAGCTATTTAACAAAGTCATTTCTTTGTTTATGTAAGTGAGAAAATAAGTTCATATCTATTTCAAATAGGCTTTCGAGTATAACCTCATTTTTAAAACCAGGACCATTTGGTGTATCTAGAGGAGTTCTGGGTTTTTTATTCTTTGTTTTTTGAAAAATGTCTTTATTTGAAAGGCAGAGTTATAAAGAGGGAGAGACAGAGAACTCTTCCATCTGCTGGTTCACTCCCCAAATGGCCACAACGGCCTGGGCTGGGCCAGGCCAAAGCCAGGAGCCAGGAGCTTCTTCCAGGTCCCCCACATCAGTGAAGAGGCCCAAGGACCAGGGCCATCTTCTGCTGCTTTCCCAGGCCCATTAGCAGAGAGCTTGATTGGAAGCAGGGCTCATATGGGATAATGCCAGCCCTTTAAGGGGAGTTTTTTTCCAAAAAGTACATGGTAACTCTTATGATTAAATCTGCCTTAAGGTTACCAAAAGAATTATATCACACATCTAGCATCTAATTTTCTTCAAAATGAAAATAATTCTGGAAGGAAAAGAGTTAGTGACAAGACAGTGATAATTAAGTCAAATGATTCTTCTCATCTCCCAATCAATGGCTGGGTCCCGACTCAGGTGCGTCTAGGGATAGGGGAGGGAAGGACGCAGGGGTTGCCAGAGACACGGCAAGTTTGGGAGAATAACAGACATGCTCATTATCTTGATTGTGATGATGGCTTCACAGACATATAAATGTGTATCAGAATGGAAACTGACATCGTGGTGCAGTGGGTTAAGCTACCATGTGGGACACCCAGATCCCCTAATGGAGTGCCAATGCAAGGCCTGCCTGCTCCCATCCCCACCCAGCTTCCTGCTAATCCACACACTGGGAGGGAGCAGGTTCTCAAGTACTTGGGTCCCCACCACTCAGATGGGAGATCCAGATGGGAGTTCCAGGTTCCTGGCTTTGGCCCAGTCCGGCCAGGCCCCAGCTGTTGTGGACATTTGGTAAATGAAAGCAGCAGGTAGAAGATCTCATTCCTTTCTGTCTCTGCCTCTTTCTCTTTCAAATAAATAAGTACATAAATCTTTTTTAAATGCAAAATTGCATAATTTGAATAATGCAGTTTTTTTCTATGCCAATTATATTTCACCAGAGCTGTTTAAAACAAATATTCAAAGAAAAATGAGCTACATGACTGGACAGAGGGCCAGACCCTCCATTCTTTGGAGAGTCAAGTGACACAGTGCCCAGTCGGGGCTGGCAGGGCAGGTGGCAGAGGGGGAGGGTGTGTGACAAAGAGGTGGGATGCTATACCAAAGAAAGTATTTAAGAGGACACCATTCTTTCTTAATTTTGCCCTGAGTTTGGCCTTCTAATCTGGAGCCACTTGTGAATTTCATTTTTTCCAGGAAGAAGCAGAGTGGGTTACCCTGATGCAGACTTGCAGAGCACAGGGTGAAGCGCTGCTGGCATCTGAATAGGAGTGAGAAGTGTGGCCCAGCACAACACAACCTCCCTAGTCTTCCAACACTGCTCTTCCCGTGCTCACAGACTCGGCGCCACAAGGGCCTCACGCTGTCCTTACACTCCTGTTGCCTGCTGCATCAGTTCCAAGACACACACTGTTTGCACAGCCCTGAACCCAGGAAGTATTTTACAACTCAAAGCACCTCCCATTCTGCCTGCCAGGGGGCAGTCAAGACACAGCTGACTGCCTCTGCAGCTGGGCTGCCCCCACTGCTGAAACCCCTTGTGTGGAGCCCGACTTCCTGCGAAAATGTCACCAAAAATCCTCATGAGCCTTTTCATCAGGTTATTGGAAGCCCCTAGCTTCAGCCACCAAAACCATTTAAGCTTTTTTACATGCTTCAAGTTACTGCCTAGCATGAACACAAAGCACTTAGGAATTCACCAAACACAGCCCTTCCATTAACTCGTGTGGATCAAAACACTTGGTTCCAGGTATTATGAGTAACACCACAGAGAAATCCTGCTTCCACCCACAGGAATGACTAAGTCATCCTCACACGGTCCTACACGTTCAGACAGGAACAAAAGGGGAGGTCAGAGGCGGGAGGCTCTGGGAGGAGCGTGGGGCAGCAAGGAGGGGAAGACACAGGGAGGGCGAGGGTCGCCCGGGCCGGTCACCTCGGTACTTCCCACCAGCTCTCTCCAACGAGAGAGAGCTGTTAACAACCTGAAACACCGCCCCCTTCCTCCTGGCTGAAAACTGTTTAGGAATTGCATGAACTGAAGAGTCAGGATAGCTCAGTTCAATGGCAGGACGGAAATGAACAGAGAGAAAGTGAATAATATTCCCTAACTTGACCAACACAGCCACGGCTAAGCCAACTGATGAGCATTCACAGAGCAAAACGACAGAAGAAAATAGCCAGAGCAAGGTGCACAAAATCCTCAGAAGAACACACAGACGCACACACACACACACATTTTGCTATTAAAGCTATTATGAGACTCCCTGAGGTAAATCAAAATGTAGAGGGGTTGTTAATGGGTAATTTATCTATTTTTCAAAAATTCTGTTAAGTAAATAATACTTTTAAATATATATTAAATATATAAGTATATTTCTTTTAAATATATATTTAAGTAAATATACAAGTATATGTTACTTTTAAATACATATGTGTAACATCCATTTTCATGACAAAATACAACTATTTCTGGGCAAAAATGTGGTTTGTCCTTTTCTCCTTCTCCCTATCTCCCCCTCCAGGGGTCTGCCCAGTCTCCTCCTTCGTAAATCAGCCTTTACCTGCAGTTCATCAGAACCCACCATCCTCAGCAGGTGCACAGAGCTACAGTACTCTACTTTTCCTCTCGAGAGAAACATATACAGACTTTCCTGTCATTATTTCCTACACAGTTCAGTGTAACAACTCCTTACATAGCACTTACATTGACAGGTATTATAAGTCATCAAGAAATGCATTAACGTATAAGGGAGGGTAGGCATAGGTTCTGTGCAAAATGACACCATTTAATATAAGGAACTTGAGCATCCTTGGATCTTAGCATCTTCAGGGGATCCTGGGACCAATGCCCCGTGGATATCAAGAGTTGACAGTAATGGGGAAAAAAAAAAACAGTCTGCACACCAACAAATGCATGATTAGTCTTGAGTCAAACACCCAATGGTACTAGCTTTCCCTAAACCAGTACCTACATGGGGACATGTTCCAAGCATAAACTGAAGTGCTGGGCTCACCTAGTCTTATACGCTGTGCTCGTTCACGGAGTTGGTCCACTAACGCTTTCATCTGTTCATAGTTCTCCTGTAACAGAAGGAGGGGCAGAAATAGGAGAATTATTTTACCAAAATAAGGGGGGAGAAATCATCCATCTGTCCCAGCTCTGCAAGGCCTCCACAGGGGCCACCACCCCCACCGGTGTGGTCTCCATGCCAGGCCACTCCATCCTTTGTTCCAGCTTTGTTCACGCCTTCTTCAGCACTACCACCCCTCTCCAGTCCACTTCTCTGAATCTTAGCCCCGCTTAAAAACTAATTCACGTTCATTCCTCACCAACACCATTGCTACTCCTGCAATATCATCTTTCTTCCTCAGGCATCTACTGAACCTAACTGACCTCAACATGCTTTCCTACTTTTTGAAGTAAATGTAACTTGAAGATACTATTGCAGTCATAATAAAATAAAATTAGGGGCTTATAACTGCATCACTAGGACTTTCTCTTCTCATCTCCTCCTGTTCAAAATGCTTGCACCTCTCAGTAGCCAATACTCTTGGATCTGCAGTTGGACTCCACATACTCAAACCTCAGAACAACCTTGTTCGCAGTTTTGGCCTCTTTCTGGAAAACTGGCTTAGTCTGCGCACTGTGAACCATCACAATGCCACTCTGCACTCTTGTGCTCCTTGTGCTGTCACCTTGCAGGGTCAGGGCTTGCCACACTGCTTGTAGAAGGCCCAGGAGGTTTGGCAACAGTCACCGCATTTGCCAGAGTACTGCTATTCCTGAAAGCTGTTTGCCTGATTTAAGGAATCAAAGCTTTGGGGCCAGCATATGGGATGCTGGCATAGCAGGCTGCAGCTTAACCCAGGGCACCACAACACCGACTGCCCGTCTTTGGTTATTTTTATGTGCCAGAAAATTGAACAATTTCCCCATGTGTATAGCATTAGGTGAATTTACAGACTTCACAGTGTGGCTCTACTGTTGCTTATTTTTTACAGCTCCAAGAGCTCCTGAGGCCATGGTTTCTGCCTCATTCTCTTGCTGTACAAAATCCAGGAAACAAAAAAGGAAAGCAGTGTGGTGCCAAGAAAAGACCCTCCGCCCTGGAGAAGCGAGGCCCCAACCCCTGACCCACCTCTGTCCGGCAGCCCTGTGAGTAATTCCCTTCCAGTCCCACCTGGCCTGCACCCTCTGGAAAAGAAGTGCTGGGAGCAAGCCTCACTCAAGTACCTGCCTCCTGCAGATCCTGGGAGGTTTTAAATGACAAACAAGTGGCAGGCGCTTGGTACAGTACTCGAGACACCACTTGGGACACCCACACCCCATATTACAGTACTTGGGTTCAAGTCACGGCTCCACTTCCTGCTAACGTGCACCCTGGGAGGCAATAAGTAAGGGCTTAAGTGCTTGGATCCCGGCCACCTACAAAGGAGACCCAGACTGAGTTCCAGGCTCCTGCCTTCACCTGGCCCAACCTCAGCTACTGTAGGTATTTAAGGAGTAAACAAGCAAATGGAGGATCTCTCCTTTCTTCCTTTCTTTCTTTTTCTTTTTTCTTTCTCTCTCTCTCTCTCTCTCTCTCTCTCTATCACACACACACAGCCTTTCAAATAAATAAATAAATCTAAAAAAAAAAAGGTCAAAACAAATTGAGAACATACTGAAAGAAGGGGTTCAGTAGGAGGCAAATCCTCTTTCCTGCCACAGGGCTTGTTCAGGTCATCACAGAATTTGTTGGTGTTAACAAGAGGCAGAGGAAACCAAGAACATGGTCTGTTACAATAACCGAGGCACCCAGGCAACAAGACCCCTTGTCCACCTGCACCAACCTCAGAAATCCCCAGGGCTTCTGAAGCGCCTTACACAGAAGCAAAGCTCCAGGTCAGCAGGTGCAAGCTCCACCAGTCACCAACAGGTGGCACTAGAGCGTCTCATACCTTGTCTTGAAATGCACAGAGGGACTGGGAGCAGCCCTTCAGAACCTCTGGCTGAACCCCTCCTGGGGTGGAAACCAGGCGCTGTATTCCAAGGGCTGCCTCCTGCACTTCCCGGTTCCCCAAGAGAGCCAGGGACAGGCTCTGTATGAGAAAGGCCTCCTGTATACAAACCCGAATGGCAGAGGAGGGCTCTGGGAGATGGTGTTGGAGGATGTCCCCACATCTGTCACCAAAAGGCATCTTCTCCCTGGACTCTATCCCCCTGAGCCGGGGCTGCAGCCACCACACAAAGGGTCAAGGACAGGTGCACTACACTGGCCTCAAGCCCAGGCTCTCCCTGCCCTGCTCTCATTTATTAGCTTTGAGCACACCGGGGAGAAAATGTGCCAATTAAAATAGCGCTGCTACGCGAAAAGAAAGCTGGTTTACCTTTTGTTTTTCTGTTTTTCCTTTTTTTTTTTTTTTTTTTGTTTCATGCTTAAGATCTATCGCCACACTAACTCCAGGGTAAAAACCCACCTACTGCAGTGCCCAGTGCTCCAGAAACCCTGACCCTCAGAATCCCCTAGCCCTGATCTGATCACCACACACTGCATGCATGTAATGAAATGTCACAGAGTGTCCCATAAACACCAACAGCTTCTATGTCCATCAAAAACAAATCCCAATGGGCAGTGAAGGCACATCAGTACGGTGGGCACCCAGCTCAAATGCCCTCCTGCTTGGTTTTCCATTCCACCACTTTCCCATATAGCATGTGTAGTCACAGGCTGACTGCTTTGGGTTTTGGTTTTACCTACTTATTCATTTATTTTGAGAAGCAGGGAGACAGAGAAAGAGGTCTCCCATGCTGGCAAGTGGCCAGGGCTGGACCAGCCAAAGTCAAAAGTTGGGAACCCAAGCCAGGTCTCACATGGCTGGCAGGTGAGCCATCATCACTTGCTGCTTCTCCGGGCCTGCACTAGCAGGAAGCTGGAGCGAGGAGCCAGAGCTGGGACTCAAAGCCAGCCAATCTGAGACTCAGGCACCTTAAGGCTAAATGTCTGCCCCCTAGTTTGGTTTTGTTTTAACAAAATATCTGATCATTTTGAACTGAAAGGATTTCTGTAAGGAACCTCATCCAAATCATCAAGCCTTCTGCTTCCTCACTTTCAAGTAGTCGGAATTAAATGATACCCCAAAAAATACACTGTGGGAAAAGATAGGCCAACAGGACTTACTGTGTTTATTTGCTCAACATGTCTCCCCATGTTTAGTAAAAGAAATCTAATGCTACTGAAAAAATACCTGAGTACCTGTTATCTTGGCAAGGTGTATGAAAGGTTAACTCATTTACTTAGGAACAACTGAATGTTCTCTGTATAAACTGATTAAGAGCAAGGAAGAAAGGCTTTTTTCAGCAACATCACGTAGTGCTACTTCTCCAGCAAGTGCATCCATCATTACCACATACGGCAGTACCCTCAGACCCACAGGGGACAGGTTCTGATACATTCCACGATGCTCTATAAACACCTGAACCCACAGACAGCACCAAACTTGTGTGCACTGTTCTCTCCTGTATACACTTTTCATACATGTATACATTCCCACAATAAAATTTAATTTATAAAGTAGGCATGGTAAGATATTACTAAAAAGAACAATTATTATACACTGAATCAATCTTCTGTATATAAAGATAATTGAAAATGAATCTTGATGTGAATGGAAGGGGAGAGGGAGCGGGAGATGGGAGGGGTGCGAGTGGGAGGGAAATTATGGGGGGGGATAATCCATAAACTGTAATCCATAAACTGTATTTTGGAAATTTATATTTACTAAATAAAAAAATAAATAAAAATAAAAGAACAATTATTACAATGAACTGTAATAAAAGTTATTAAGATTTCATGAATTATTTATTTCTAGAGTTTTCCACATAGCATTTCTGGACCGCAGCTGATGGCAGATAACTAAAACCATGAAAAGTGAAACTGAATAATGGGGACAACTGCACAACACCAGGAAAGGGGCAGAACAGGGTTGTGCTACAGCAAATTGCACAGGGAAGCGCGCCACTAACACTTTCAACTCCGCTGTGGCTTGCAGTCATCACTGTTAACTTTCATGGAAATATTCAGACATATGCAAAAATAAAAAAGATCAGAACCAGTGTAAAGGACCACACATACCCAGTGTACTTGAAACAATTATCTGTAATGGCCAACGTTGTTTCTTTCTTGTCCCGCACCCTAAATTATTCTGAAGGAAATTCTAGATATAACACTTCATCTATAAGCATTTCTGTATCTGCACAAGAACCATAATCACATGTCACTAACTTGTTAGTATCATCAAATAGGCAATTAGAGAAGACATTGCACCAACTGACAGAAAGATTTGTATATTTGGTATTTAAAGACTTTTGCTTATTCATTTTCGTTTTAACCAAAAGGTAGAGAGAGATCTTTCATCTGCCGGTGTACTACCCAAATGCTCACAACAGTTCAAAGCCAGGAGCCCAGAACTTGATCTGGGCCTCCCACCGGAGAGGCACGAACCCAGCTGCTTGAGCACCATCACCTGCTGCCTCCCAGGGAAGAAACGGGGATCAGAACCAGGGGCCAGGACTAGAACCAAGCACTCCGATATGGAACGTGCACATCCCAGCAGGTTTCTTAACCACTGTGCCACACACCAGCCCCTACTTATGGTTTATTTAAATAGGATCCTACATAGTAGACCTACATGGCCACAATTAGGCAATATGTCTAAGTCTTGTCTAAAATATAAGCTCACCCATTTTTTTTCTTCCTGAACTGTTCTGTTATCCTATAGATGTTTCCCATAGAGGAAAATGTATCCACACAGTATCCTTGTTCAAGTTTGTCGCTCATAGAACTAGATTGCTATTGAGATCCTGGAAAACCTCTGTTTAGCCCTGCCTTCCAGCCTCATCAGGATTAAGCTGCTCTCCCACCCACCTGCATTCCACCTCCTGGTCTCCTCCCAACTTTGCAAACCACAGTCACCAAAGTCCAGAGCTGAGAAAAAACAGTTCACCTATGTACAGAGCAAGCACGTCGCACTGGTTTAGAGTCTCCGAGCCCCGAGGTACGACTGCTGCAGCCAACGGCAACCGGCCAATTAGAAGAGCG